GCAGCCACCATTCTAATAGCCGCTATGATTTTCTCATGCAGTCCGTCATAAATCATCATACACATATTTTCATTCACCCGCTTTTACTGGTTAGCAAGATAAGTGAGTTGCCTAGATCGGCGTCGTTTAAAATCATGTCACATGATTTAAGGAACGGCCGGTGGTCGACTTTATGAAAGCATCGATATCCGGAATGCTATTTTTAATCCTGTGATATATCGACTGCATGCAACCTGACCAGGTTAATCGTGAAATATTATTACGCCACGGAAACCACATGTGCATCGTTAAATAACGCCGAATATAAAAAAATATTATGAAGCGGTAAAATTTGAATGTATCACATTATTTTTTTTTTTATTAACAAAGAAGACTTACACAAAATCGTCGATCGCTCGATAGAGGGGAGATATCATTAAGACATTAATCTTTCACAAGATCCCTCTCTTATTGTGGTTATCGATTTATCGAACGACGCACACAAACGGGGGGGTTGAAATTAATGTCTGAAGGCGGAAGTGGATCATTACGACGACCAAATCCATGGCTTCAATTCAACCGCGACCGTCAAGACAAAGGACTCTTGTCCCTCAAAGATGCCAAGTCACATATCCCGCTGGGTTTCCTTCTCTCCACATCTGCATTCGATGTTAAAACCACATTTCATACTACAAAATATTTCATATTTCATGTTTCCCTTATGTATCTCATTGTATGCTTCGGAAAGTTGTGATGGAAATGTAAAGAATTATACTAACAACTCTGAGATTAACAGAAAATAAATTGTCTACACATAGAACATTTCGTGTACATTCCAACAATGTAAATATAGATACAATATATATTGTTTATTTAAATCATGTATTCAAAGGTCAATCAACTAAAGCGATTGCACGTAAATAAATGCAATAATAATTATCTTTAACCAATCAATTTAACGAATCAATTCTCTGCCCGATGTTCAAAATACTTTTTCGTGCGCATCTCGTAAACTTATTTAGTCTTCTTCCAATTCAAGTTTTATCTCGGCACGAAATGGCTTTCCCGATCCAATAAAGTGCGCCGCGTTAATTATCGGAATTTCGAGGGGTAATTCATTAATATCGCTCTGGCGATGCTGCGCGAATCGATATCACTCTCGCAAGAAAGAAAGTGAGTGAGAAAGAGAGAGAGAAAGAGAGAGAGAGAGAGGAG